ATACCGTGTGCCCGTGATCCCAGCACTCAGAAAGTGGGGGCAAGAGGACCAGTGTTTAAGGCCACCTGCATAACAGGATGAGGCCAGCCTGGCCTACGTGAGACTCTGTTAAAAAACAAACTCGATGACAAAAGGCATGGTAAGCCTGGGAGTAACCACTAATGAAATAAAATAAGAAATTCATATTTTAGTAAATTAAGAAAATATTAAAATGTTACTTTAGAAAATTTTCACTATACAAAGGAAATCAAAAGATGAGATAGCAGGCATGAGTCTAGCTCCATCAATAGCATAGCAGCGACTATCAAGTTAGATTTAAAACTAAATAAGACCCAGTTACATGAGGTCTACCAGCGGCAGAGTCATTCATGTGTTTGTGTTTATTCTTATCCATTTAGTTGTGTGGGGAGGGCTTTCACGCCATCGTGTGCACGTTCAGGTCACAGGACAGCTTGTAGGAGGGAGCTGTCTTCTCCCACTCGTGGGTCCTGGGGATGGAGCTCAGCCTGTCAGCTGGCGGCGAGGGCCTTGCCCGGCTGAGCCTCTTGATGGAGACCGCATTGCCAACATTCGCCCCTACTCCCAGCCACTCCCTTCTCTTTGTAAGATTTGTTCTTATGTTATGTATGTGGTCTTCTCTCCTGATGTGTGTCTGTACCACGTGTGCAGTGTCTGTGGAGGTCAGAAGAGGGCCTTGAATCCCCTGGGACTGGAGTTACAGGAAACTGAGCCGGGAATGGAACTCAGGTCCTCTGGATGGGAAGCCAGAGCTCTTAACTGCTGATCCGTCTCTCTAGCCCCATGTTCCTTTGTATTACCTAAAGAGTACCACAGTATGTGTCAACTGTTAGTCTAACTCAAAAGTTATATAAAGTTTTGCTTCATTTTTAATTTTGACTTCTAGCATACTATTCAACCTTTGGACTCCACCATCCAGAGATGGCTGGGAATAGGTCCTGCTAGATACCAGCGCTGTGTCCCATAGAGTGTCAAGGGAAATATGCTTCATTTATTAGGAAATTTTCACTACTACGGTTATTCAGAAGTTACTCAAGTATATTTCCAAATATGGAGAGAGTTTTTCTGGTCCTATCTAAGACAAGGTTTTGTATCATTTCAATCACTGTACATTGATTTCAACTTGCCTTACAGCTCAAGCCTTGCAGATAATGTCCTATAAGAAAGGACATTTTGTGCTGGGGTGTAGCTCAGTGGGAGAATATTTGCCTAGCATGTAAGGCCTGGGGTTCAACCTTCAATACCTCAAGGGGACACCAGAGAAGGCATCCCATGATTGGAGTTAGGTTTAAACAGTTCCCATTCAGGTGGTCTGTCCTCTGCTTCTCCCAGAAGTGTTACAATCCATGCTATCAACCACTGCTTCTTATTACAGCGGCTGTGTAATGATTACAACACAGATACATCCAACTGATGGCGTGAGCCATTAACACTATGATTTGTTCCTACTTCGGGGGTAAATGGTTTTTATTGCTCTGTCCTTAAACTGTTCTATCAACACATGCCTGCCGTCCTTATACTCATTAATATCAATCTTTTCATAGCTTTATTTTCTGATAAGTGGTTTATGGACACAGTGTTTTTATATTCATTAATATCAATCTCTTCATAGCTTTATTTTCTGATCAGTGGCTTATGGACACAGTGTTTTATACTCATTAATATCAATCTTTTCATAGCTTTATTTTCTGATCAGTGGCTTATGGACACAGTATTTGGTTTTTGTTCACAGGAGGTGGTGCTTTTTTTAGATAATATCTCTCTATGCAAATCACACTAGCCTCAGACACTCAGCAATCCTCCTGCCTCAGCCTCCAAAGTGCTAGGAATACAAGCATTGCCACTGTGCCCAGTACTTTTTAATAAGAAAACATTTAGTTGAAAGCAACTATAGCAAGCCTGTGCATGTTTTTGAATTACTAATAATTTTGAATCTGCTGTCCTGCTTGGCGGCTTCTCACTACCTATGGTCTGCTCACTTTTCCAACTCTGGCGTCTTCAGAGGTCACTCATCCTGCCTGGTGGTGGCCGCCACAGAAGATCTGTGAGAGAGTGCACATTTGGACACACTGCCAGCACCTGTGTTTGGCCAAGTTTTTTTAACCTTATAAAAAAAATCGACAGTTTTTGTGGCGATCAGCTGTCCCTAACGACGCTCCTTGGTACCTATAATGCACACAAATGCATACACACACACACACACACACACACACACACACACACACACACACTTTATGATAAAAAGAAAGCATGACAGTAATAGAAACAGTAAAATAGAAACTTCCTGAACTGGAAAAGAGAATCACCACTGGCTTGTGACTCAGCAGTGACAACTGATGGCTGTCCCCATAAGACCAGGGACAAAACAGAATCCCCAGCCTGTCTCCCACTCCTGTCAAGTGTTTATGGGAAGTGCCAAGCAGAACAATTAAGCAAGAATGAGCAAATGAAAGGCATCCAGAGGAGAAAGTCAAACTATTTCTTTTTGTGCTTGACATAATCTTTTAATAGAAAAACATAAGTAAGACTCAAAACTACTAGAGCTAACAAATGCATTCAACAAGTTTGCAAGGATGAAAGGAAAATAAACTAACAAGTTTTCAGGGATGAAAGGGAAATAAACTAAACTACATAATATAGCATCAAAGAGATGAAAATATTTTTTTTAAAAAACTAAGAAGAGCGGGGCATTAGTGGTGCACGCCTTTAATCCCAGCACTCGGGAAGCAGAGGCAGGAGGATCTCTGTGAGTCTACAGAGTGAGTTCCAGGACAGCCTCCAAAACAATACAGAGAAACCCCGTCTCGAAAAACCAAAATAAAAATAAAAATAAAAAGCTAAGAAGAAATTTAAAAACATGCTGTCTGAATACTGAACTATTGCTGTAAGAGGTTACACATGAGCTCTAAATGGACATGGTCTGCAAACCCTCAGTTTAAAGACATCAGTAAGTACTGCCCAAATTGATCTGCAGCTTGAGAACAATATCATAGTGTCACTTTCTGCTTTGTAGAAAGTGACAGGCTGAACTTCAGCTTCACCTGGAAATTCGTAGTCCCTCAAATAACTAAAACATTGGGGTAGAAGGGATGAGGAGAAGTTATATAAGCAGTACATTCTTCCTGATTTCAAAACTCACTACGAAGAGCAACAAAGAGAGAAGTGTGGCCATCATAAGGGCAGACGTATAGATCAACGGAATAAAATTCGGAGCCTAGAATTTGACCCATATGGCTATGGTAAGTTGGCTCACACTCTGCTGAGGACATTCAGTGGGGTGGCAACACTTCTCAGCAAACTCTGTTGGTACAAGTGACAAGCCACACACAAAAGCATGGGACAGGACTCTTCACAGCATGAATAAAATTAACGTCAAAAGTGGCTAAATACCTTACATGTAAATGCTAAAATAAGAAAAACTTTTAGAGAAAGTTAGATACACACACACACACACACACACACACACACACACACACACAGACATCAGACAAACTGGATCTCATTAAATTGAGAAGTTTTCTGCACAAAGGACACCACAAAAAAGTATGATAAAGCATTTTCTTTATGCTTGGGGGTGGCAAGGGGACATCTTACATGCAAATGTTAACATGGCTAGGAAGTGGTCCGTTGGAAGCTATATCATGCACGCAATGGCCTCTTTGTCTGCCAGACAGACCCATTCTTCAGTTTGTTTCACCGCTTATTTGTTGGGAAAGGAAGCCCGTGAGTCTCGTGCCACAGCACCTAAGATCCTCTTCCGCAGCCCCGTTGGCAAGGACCTCGGCACAAAGGTTCTCACCCTTGCCTGGCCTGGCTCTCAGGAGCAACACCACCATCTCCCACCCTCCATCCTCCTCGTTTACCCGTGCCTAGTGCAAAATGTGATCTGCTGACATCGTTTTAAAGGCTGAAAGCTACACATGGGACAAAAGAAAAAGGAAAGATGAAAGAAATTAAGAAGTAAGTTCGTCGATGACTTAGGACCCCAGATCCAACTTCAGGGTCTGCTAGACCTCACACTAAGAAGTCAGAGTCGATAGTTCTTGGCATCAAAATAAACCACAACGTCTATGGCTGGAGCTTGTCTTGGCTCCCACCTGAGGCAAGGGAAGGTGGCATATGGGACTGTGTCTGTGCATGTGTGAGTTGTCATATCCTCGTGGTGGCTCTTTTCCAAGTGAAGGCTCACAGCTCCAAGCATATTCTCATATTCCCTTGATTACACCTTAGGAGTCAAAAAGCCAAACCCTACAGAAATGATGCTCTCTGATCTGTTGCTGAAATTCCCAAGTATCTGTCCACAAAGGGCAAGACTATCACCAAGTTTTCACAACACAATAAGAACAGCACCGTGCCATGGAGCGGGAGGGTGTCAGTACTGGGAAGGTCCTTGTCAAGAACCGTCTTTTATCCCTAGCTTATACCTTCCTGCCTTTCTTAGTGATAGCTAGCTTCCCTTTTCCTGAAATGGTGGCAGAAACAGGCAGTAACCAGGCAACTTAATGATAATGTCCTTACTCTGCAGAACAAACAGCACCCTGGTCCTACGTCTACATCAAAGGTCTCAGTGGAATATTAATACATCCTAGTTGATGTTGATACGGTGGGGCGTTCGTTAGCCTCTCCCCTGCCCATAGAACTCTAGAGAACAGCACGGCTCAGTCCCGCCAATCTGAACATTCCTTGTGAAGGCTCTGTCTCTCCTCAGCAGCTGCTTTCTCCTGTCCCACGGAGGCAGAGGCACATTTCAGGGAATGGTGGGCATAATTTGCCATAGGAAACTACCCAGTAACCCAAGGGAGAAAATTACCTGACTTACTGGTGAGGTGTACACATGGGAATGCCCCGGCTTGGGCTCTGGACTCCTGAAGAAGGGACTTTCTCATGTATGTTCAAAATCAGGGCTGGCTAAAATATTCCTGACCACCCTAATGTCACCTGCAATCAACAGTAACTTATTTATTGAATAATATTTCCTCCAGCTATGATGAAAGAAAAAAGAAAATGGAAAAAGACTATCCAAAAAATACCGAAGAGGAATTTTCAGGAGTGAGTGGCCATGTGGATGCTGCTGTGGAGTTAAATGGTGAGTGTCTCCCCAGGAAGCCTTCCCTAGGAAACTGAAGAGATCCGGGCTCTGCTTTAGATTGACAGAAAATGGGTTTTGGTGGGAGTCATGGGTTCTTATTTTGGTTTCATACATTTAAATAGCCAGGCTACATATGAGAAAGAGGAATTATTTTAAAAATCCTTTGTTAAAAAATAAGTAAATAAAAATAAAATGGTGGTTCTTCCTTTACTAGTAGATAGGTTTAAATGTATAGATTCAGGTTGGGAGTATAGCTGACCCTGACCCTGACCTAGCTATTGTGCACAGCCCTGGGTTCAAGTCCCAGAACAAAATAAGCAAGACATGTGGCTCATAATTCCAGCACTTGGGAAAGGGAAGTTCAAAGTCATCCTCGGATACATAGCAAGTCCAAGGACAGCCTAGGATGTGTGAGTCCATTTCTCAAATGAACATACAAGAAGTGTAGCTCTGGCCTATAACCCCGGCATTCAGGAGGCTGAACCAGGTAGATGAAGAGCTTGAGGTCAACCTGGGCTACGTAGTGAGACCCTTTCTCAAAAATGAACAATACCACAATGTAACCTCAACCCAGCAGCAGTCTCAAGCTTCCCAGTATCCTTTCCCCTTCCATCACCCAACTCCTGAAATCTAACACATGGCCAAGAGGGTAGGAGACGTGAGGATTATATACAAGTCAAATCAACTTAATTGCTTCCTTCCAACCATGTTCTTACTGAGTATGTAGCACAGAGACGGACAGTGCTGAGAAATATGCAAAGGAGATTCCATACGTGGCCTCTAGTCTCATGGGATGTTGAGCATCCCTGGGAAATGCCTACCTGACTCAGATGAAACTACTGGAGACAAGAGGCCTGTGCTCTGGTGGTAAAGGCTTCACAATGACTTCAAGAAGTAATCTGAGACAGCCGGGCCAAACATGGCAGTTGCCTATATCACGATGAGACATTAGCTGAAGGCCAGTTAGACATTTTACAAAAAAGGCAGAAGGACTAAACAAAACCATAAAGCCTTTTCACATGACCCAGAGTGAAGCCCTTACCCTGCTGGAGCAAAGGACAGGATGAGAAGCTGGGGGTGTCAGGCTGTTGGGGCTTGCAGAAGACAAGCTTGCCACCCCCTGACAGAGCCCAGTTCCTCCCCAGCACCACCTCAGAAAGCTGCACTTAGAAACCCCCGCCCACTTAGAGAGTCACAAGTCATCTCCAGTAACCACAACTTCAACTTTATCTCTTCTAGGCTACATTTACTTCTTTTCAGGACCCAAAACCTTCAAGTATGACACAGAGAAGGAAGACGTGGTTAGTGTGGTAAAATCCAGCTCCTGGGTTGGTTGCTAAGCTCACAGGGTCAGCATCTCCACAGAGATGAAGACCATGTGAGCAGCTGATGACTGGACATTATGAACTAAGCAGAGCCCAGGACACTCTCACCCGGCCTTCAACCCTAAGGGTGATTTAAAGTTCACTGAAAATAATAATAACTCCATTGATTTTTCTAATTATCCATTCATAGTTTTAATCCAAATAAGAAATTAAGCCACCTTTACTCAGAATCATATAATGCCCTTTGGTTAAACATTCTTTCTTTTAACCTACTATACTAAAGCAAATTGATCAGTTTGGTTTCTATTTATAGAAAAAAGACTGTATACGTGCACATGCACTCACAGTTCTTTCATTAAGAAAGGTCATTCATTACCTTACAAATTACAATTATCCTTTAAAAACAACGGCCGTCATTTACCATGATGAGTATACATGTCCCGACTTATGTTTTGGATGTATCATGAATGAAATGCAACACCAGGTCTGTTTCTAGGTTTGGGTTGTTCTCTGTGTCCCTCACTGGTCTCTGAAGTGTGTTGGTAGACAAACATTCAAATTAACTTTCGTGCTCACCAGCAGCTGGACACTGCAACAGGGAACCTTCAACAAAACCCAATAAAAAATGTTGTGTTAGAACACTTCCTCATTTCTCTTTCCTGTTAATATTTACTAGCCCTTATCATGCTTTATTTGGCAACAAATTCTTTGTACCTGTAGAAACTTAAACAATAGTATCGTAGGTACACAGAGGCAGGAAAGCTAGCGCAGTCTGATCTATTTCCTTCTTCCTGGTGGCAGCCCCAGAAAGACATCTTTGCTCCACCTCGGTTTCCTCTGAGCAGTTTTCTATTAGGGAAGTTTTTGTTGTTTTAGAGGTTTTTTGTTTGTTTGTTTGTTGTTTTTTATTCAAACTAAACTTTTCTTCCCAGCTCTATCCAGTTAACAGCACAGATATAATTATGGCTATCAGTCTTAGTTTTTAAAACTCTAGCCTAGAGAATTCTAGAGCCAGTCTAGAGAAACCCTACAACATTTTAGGAGTTATGAAATTGATAATATTTTACTTCATAGGCTGCTTAGAAGAGCTACAGTTATAACATCTACAAGCTGTCATTGTTAGTGTCGCTTATTAAATTTGCTTCATGGGCCGGGCGGTGGTGGCGCACGCCTTTAATCCCAGCACTTGGGAGGCAGAGGCAGGCGGATCTCTGTGAGTTCGAGGCCAGGCTGGACCGACAGCCTCCAAAATAATACAGAGAAACCCTGTCTTGTAAAACCAAAAAAAAAAATTTGCTTCATGGATTCATTAGAAGACAATACAGTCACTACAAGCATTCCCCTGGGGTTCAATTACTGAAAGTAATAGTGCATACCCAACCAGATGCTGACTGTTGAAGACCACATCTGGTGTCTTTGCTAAGGCTAGGTGCTCCTATTAAGAAGCAGAGCCGTTTCTTCTTTATGGCAGGTGGGAAACATCTTCTCTCAATAAACAAAAACAAATAAACAAACCCAGAGGCTAGAGGGCTCAGAGACTGGGAATGCTTGCTGTCCTTGTAGAAGACCCGAGTTCAACCTGTAGCACCCATGTGGACAACTTTCAAGCATATGTTAGTTTCCGGGAGCTGATCCTCTCTGTGGCCCCCTTGTGCACCTGAACACACATGTGCACACAGACACAATACACAAAAATAAAAATAAGCAAATTGTTTAAAAAACAAGAAAAAAAATCAAAGTAGTGTGGCAAGCCCTCACAATGTTAAACGGAAGCCGAGGAACTGCACTACTGTGTATACGCCTATGAGAAATTAAAACACAAAAACTTGGACACGGGTGTTCGCAGCAGCATTATTCACAATAGCCTCAAGTGGGAATATGTCCATCACATGATGCAGGTGTGAATAAAATGTGGTAGACTCAGACAATGGAATGTTTAGAAAACCATAAAAGAAATGAGGTGCTGAGACATGCTATAATATAGATGAAGTTTGGAAAATTATACTAAATAAGAAGGCAGGCACAAACGATCATGTGTTGTATGATTCTATTTATATGAAATGTTGACAACAGAAAAACACATAGAGACAGAAATGCGAGTGCTTGTCAGGCATCAGGGAGCCAAGGAGCAGGGGACAGGCATAGAGTTTCTCAATGGGTAATTGGAGATATTCTAGAACTAGTGGTGGTGATGCTTGTACAACTCTGTGATGATACAAAAGCTGCCCAACTGTACAATCTAAATGAGTGAATTGTGTATTTATAAATTCTGCCTTGATAAAGTTGTTATTAGAAACATAAATTAGTGATGTGGCGAGCCATGGAATTCCTGCACAGAGCAATGCAGCACTGTACTGAAGACATCTGGTACTGAGCAACCAGATGGTTCCCTTCTTTGAGTCCAGCACTTCCCAGGAGAGGGAAGACTAAAGGTGTTGCACTGTGCAGAGGGTTGTCAGGGAAGCCATAAAGAGTGCACTCTGGGGACAGACTGGCTGCACTCAGAAGCCCAGGACTTGCTTTCAGCTATGCGGCACTGCTCTCTGATCTCTTCATGACTTCCTCCTTTGCACGGCAGATAAGAATAGCTCTTGACCTCCTGGGGACAGTTAGAGACTTAAACTACGACTCAGATTATACAAAGTTCTGAGAGCAGTTCCTTGAAGTCTGAAGGGCTTACTAGTTGTTGTTCTTAAGATGATTAGCTAATTTTGTTCTGAGATATTGTGGAGAATTCAGCCCTCTCTTGAGCTCTCACAAGATCTGGCGACCTGTAACAGCACATGACCTGGTAACCAGGATTTTTCCTTTCTAAATTTCAGATTCAATCAAAAACTAGAAGAATATACTGACTGTGGTAGCTCCATGGCCCCCCAAAGTCTCTCAAATGGTTCCCATTGGTTGTTGAGTCAGAGGCATCCTGGCTCTCAGCTGTAACTTACGTACACTTTGGGAAGATGGGGACTCTGGAGCACAACAGACAGCTTCTGTGTCATTAGTAATGACACTTGCCCTATTAGACGCGATAGTACTGAAGAAATAACTTATAACATACACAGTGAGATTTCCATTTCTGAGGGCTTCTTACCCGCATGTTTACCAAACAGGGATAAAACAGGGTGACAAACAGTGTCTATATACTGAGTATATGTATTTTTATTTGTTGAAATGATACCATTCTGCCATCTACATATCATCTATATTCCACTACATATTATAAGCAACAGATGACTAAACTATATGTGAGCATGCGTCCAGCTTACCTTTTACAGGAGGAACCTGTGCATTCCTAGACATTGTTATCCGTGGAGTCAGCATCCAATCTCTGAAAACCAAGAGACACCGCTCTCGCTTAGCTTCAGGGAAACTAAGTGGAAGACGGCCATCCCGTCACAGCCATCACAGCCCAGTCTCTGCTGACCTCCGCGGAGACTGTGGGCAGAGCCCTCTGCAAGCATCAGAAAGCCCACTGGAAGATGTGCAGATCCTCCCAGGAGCGCCTCCCCAGCTGCTCCCTTTGATGATACAAAAGGTTCTGTGACTGGAGTCAGGCGGTCTTCCGCTTAACCCCATCCAAAATGGCAGCCCTGAGTTAGCCAGGGAAGCATCGGGAGGCCACACAGGTTTCTATGTCACAAAGCTAAACCAGCTTTTCAGGGTTTTATTCAGAATTCTGAACATGTGTTTCTGAGTTCTCAGAAGGTCTCCAGGATGTTTTTATTTAGACACATCCGCGTTTTGTCCTTATTTCTGTTTTCGTCATTTTCAAAAGTGGTACCGAAGGGTCTTTGTGAATATTTCCAATTAAGCTATCCACAGAAGTACCATTTGAGTGTATAGTACTGCCCAGTGGCTCCCAGTACAGGCACAAGAAGGGTCTATGGGGAGAGGTCTGCATTTCCCCCAACAGGCCTGGACAAACACAGCATCCTGAAGCTGTTTCTCACCGGCCACGAGTGCCCATTGTTAGTGTTGGTCCCCCCTCAATGTGACTTCATAATGTGCTCAAACCACAAGGCAGCCTTCTGACCCCCAACCTCCATAACACCAGCTCTGTTCTCACTACCTAGACTCTTGCAATTGAGGTTAGAAAATGACTTTTGAGAACAAATTAGCCTGTTTTCAAGGGTGCATAACTTCGCTGTAATCTGTTCTCAATCTCAGTCTTCTTCCTTCCTCTAATCCAATATGACATTTAACATGTTTGAGAATAAAACTAAACTTTTCTTGCACAACGTAGTTGTTCCAGCAAGAGTTGGAGGAGAGATCAAGAGACAGAAGAACAGGAACCCAGAGAAAATCACAGGAGAACACAGAACATGGAAATCCTTCTCCAGTGTTCACAGTAGGGAACCATGGGGTGGTGTGAAATAACAACTTGCTTATTTTTGGAATATCTCAAGGCAATAATACAATGATAAGCATTAGTAATATAATGATAACATTAGCCTAAGGTCAAATTATGGACACATTTCTATGTGTACATTCAGAGGCAGCCAGCACTTACGCCTCTGAGAGAATATTTATCTGGGAGCATACCTAAGAATGGAATTGTTGAGTCATAAATCTGTGCATGGATTGAGTTTTCATATGTGCCACCTAATCATTTTCAAGGTGACTGTAATTATACTATTGTACATTTCCACCCATAATGTGTGAGCATTTTCACTGAGTTTTTTTAAACGATCCTTTCTATAGAGCACACCTTGTGCGCCAGACACTGTTGAGCTATGCAGGTCTTTAATCTTCCCGTCAAGTGACATGAGTGTTACCTTTCTCCATTTTCAAGCTAAGTGAACTTAGCTAAAGAAGAGACAGTTGGGAGCGGAGCCTAAGTCCAACGCTCTTAGAGAGGCCACATGAGTTCCCTTAGACTCAGGGAAGACCCATGTGGCAGATGTCTTCATAGGGAGCTAAAGGGAGAGCGAGGCTCTGCTCTGTGCTGGAGCCTGCCGAGGGGGTGAATGGACCCGGAGCTCCCAGATGGGCCTGCTATGGGGAGAGGCATGGGGTGGGGGCGGGGGACTGGTGAGGCAAGGCTAAGCCGTGAGGAAGGGATGCTCAGAGGAGCCAAGAGCCTGCCCCCACCCTGCCCTCAGCATCGGTACCTGATTCAGGTGACGACTTTGCCAGAGTCACCTGGTTCCTCTAGAACTGTCTGAGAAGCATGCAGACAGACCCCAGTGCCTGACACCCTAACCTTCCCCTGGGCGCTGCTCCTCAGGTATTTACCCTGACCCTCCAGCCTTTGTTCTTGGGTGGGGATTTTCTGTCTCTTTCCCCCCTTCCGCTTGCTCCTGCTGAGGTCACCACACTGATGGGAATTCCTCTTAAAATGCCAACAGTCTCTTTAATGAGCCTTGTCTGCAAGCGTTAAGATACACCTGGGCAGAATGCCCTGAGACTCTGAGGCAACTTTCCACAATGCACAGCTAGAACGTTCCAGGGCACAGGTCACCCACATTTCCCCCTGCGTAGACTCTTGACCCCCTTGAAGGAGGAACGGGAGATGTAGTCAGGTGGTTTTACCGCTGTCTTAGATTCAAGGAGTACCCCAGCCTTGCACATTAGATGGACACTTCTCCAGGTAGTTTATAGGACCCTCTTCTCATCCTCTCTGCTTCCCGGCTTATGGTGCGAGTGGTTTCCTCTCCCATTCATCCCTGCCATGGTGTAACAGCTTACTATAGGCACACACCAAGTGTTACCAAGCACATGGACACGTTAAGCTATGGTATAAACTCCCTATATTTTGAAATTTATAAATTGTGGAACAGATATTTACAGTTTGGACAAATGGGATAGACATCTAGCTTCCTGTCCACCGTGCCTATGGCCATCTTACTGTTTACAGAAAGCAATGTATAGAAAGCCGTGAGACAAAGGCTGGAACATGTCAATTTAACACTGAGACAGCTAAACTGTCCGTCCCTTGGTGGGGGCAGGGCAGGCCTGTATCCAGTGGCCTGAGACAGGGAAGTCCAAGCACTTCTGTATTAACCTGATTTAGAAGCGAGACCTGCCCATGTGGCAAAAGTAAGATTGGAACCCAAGTCCATGGTCATGCTACGTCTCCCTACATGCCAGCCAACAGCTGGACACAGCAAAACCCAAAGTAGTTCCCAGTTCCAACATGATCATGCCACACACAGTCCTTCAGATAACATCGATCTTGTAGAGCTGGGTTAAGAGCACAAGCTAAGGTTAGATCTGGGCATTCCCTTGAGAAACTTGGGTCTGTCTTCCCCTAAGCAGTCACCAAACTCAAGCCCCAAAGAAAAATTCTGTGCCTACACAATTAGCCTTGCTGACGTACAGATCCGTGACGTCATTTCAGGCCATCGTGGAGGAGGGTAGAACCCCGGGGTGGGGAAGTCCAGGCAGCAGGGTGCTTATCAGGAGAGAAGAAACAGCAGTTTCACAGTCACCAGAGCGAACGCCGCTGACTGTGCAAAGTGCTGTGGAAAATCCTCAGGCTAGAATGACTAGAGCAAGACTCGGTTCTGTGACTCCACCGGGGGAGTGGATAAGCTGGAGAGTGTTCTTCCTTTACAGCTGAGTGCCATTTCTTCAAATCAAACAAGTAGAGGGGGAGATAAAGAAGCCCTGTACGGTGGTGTAACACCTACAGTTGAAGGGCTGGAGGAGAGCAGTGACAAGGCCAGCATGCCAAGGAGGAGGAAGAGAAGAGGAGGGGAGGAGGAGAAAGGGGGGAGAGAGAATCCTAATAGCCAAAGGGTTGAGTCTGCTGTTTAACAGACACACACTCCAACCATTTGAGGTGGTGCTGACTAATGTAACGATAATTTACCTCAGGAGGGGGAAGGCCAAGAGTATGGAGTCAGAGAGGCGGCTCAGTGGTTACATGCTAATCGCTCTTCAAGGGTACCTAAGTTTCCCAGTGCCACATCAGGCATCTCGCCACCTGAAACCCCAGTTCTTCCAACCTCTTCTGGCCTCCCCAGGCACCTACGCTCACGTGGTATACACACGCAGAAACACACACATACATTTTTAAAGGCCAAAAGAAACCAATTGGGAATTGCCAAAAACCACCAGCTATTACATTCAAGGGTAGGCAGGGGACTTCTCACATGCCTGACTTTGCTCTCTCAAGGCCTTCTCCTCTAAAAGGGGATTTAGTAGCTATAGGTGAGTTTCACTGAACCAAACAATTTGACAAGATAAATGTCATAGTGAATCTGAAGACTTTTATGTGTTAAAGCCAAACTCTAAACTTTTTTTTAATTAACTGGGGCCTAGGGATGTAGCTCATTGGTAGAACACTTTCCAAGCATGTATGAGACCCTGATTTCAAGTATATAAACATATACACATACACACCATACATCTCTGTGTGTGTAAAATAAACCAAATAATTGGCCATGGTAGTACATCTACAATCCTAGCCTTTAGGAATTGATGGCAGAATTATATACACATATACCATACCCTCCCTCTCTGTCTCTCCTGTCTCTCTCTGTCTCTCTGTCTCTCTGTCTCTCTCTGTGTGTGTGTGTGTGTGTGTGTGTGTGTGTGTGTGAGTAAAATAAAATAAGTAGCTAGCTATGGTGGTACACCTACAATCCTAGCCTTTAGGAATTGATGGCAGAAAAATCAGAAATTCAAGGTTCCCAGCTACATAGCAGGTACAAGGCCAGCCTGTCTCAAAAGCCACAAAGACTCGTGGCATGCTGGGGCACTCCTTTAATCCCAGCACTCAGGAGACAGAGGCAAACAAGTCTCTGTGAGTTTGAGACCAGCCTGGTCTACATAGTAATTTCCAGGACAGCCATGTCTATATAGAAAGACCCTATTTCAAAAAAAAAGTCATAAAAACATACAAAACCCAATTGCTAATGGATGTCTGTGGTGTTAAATATATTTCAATAAATTTATTTTATGAAAACAGCTTTAATATCTACTAGGCTCTCTTGAAAATGACACATTTTGCAGTTGAAAATCTCTTCATTGTAGAAAATTGGTTCTTTTTATTTCATGCTTCTTAGTCACACCTTTTTTAATTTCTCAAAAGCATATAAGTGCTCGTACGTTTCCCAGTGCTTCCAGGGGTAGACCCACTTAGCAAAAGATATATTAATTAGAGAAAACACAAACAAGGGTAACTACAGTAGATCTCGTGCAGACAGCAGGGGGACTAAATGCATCAGTCTTGGCTTTGTGCTGTGGCTGATAAGGGTGGGGCCATGGTGGGGGAGAGGTCCTGGCAGAGCCATAGAAGAGTGAGGACTATGCATGTCTGTCCCTTCTCTAATGACGGGTGGCTTTGTACTGGGTGGGGCCATGGTGGGGGGGTCCTGGCAGAGCATGTTAGAAGGGAGAGGACCACGCAGTAGGTCTGTCCGTCTTCCCCACTGACAAGAATTTTCCGTGATGGAAAGATCCTTCCCTTCCTGGTGCAGACACAGGACCATCTTTACAGATAAAGATTTCTTCTAAAGACAGACACCGGCCAATGATGGGTAACTTCTCACTTGTGGTTTCTTAAGAGTCTACTGCTTCCCTAAATCATAAGCTCAAATTAATCCATATGCTAGTGATATCAAATTAGGTGGCATCTTCTGGTCTCCCACAGCCATATTTGGGGATGTTATACCCCTAAAACTGTAATTTTCACGTACATATATACCTAAATGTTTAGTAATGCCAGAGAGATGAGAAAGTAGCCTGGATAATTAAGAACCTAGGCTTGGGGGCTGAGGAGATAGTTCAGTGGGTAAAGTGTTACGTGTACAAGCATAAGGATGTGGGTTCAGACCCCAGCACCCACCGTAAAAGCCAGCCACAGCAATCCCAATCCTTGGAAGGCAGAGGAGAGGATCCCTGGGGCACTCAGTCCCGCTGAATCAGTTAACTCCACGTTCAGTGAGAGGCCTTATCTCAAAAGGTAAGGTGGAGAGTGATTGAGAAAGACACCAGACATTGACCTCTGCCCACTAGGTGCCTGGGTACGCACATGTGTGCCCCACACAGAAACATGTACACACACACACACACACACACACACACACACACTTTGGTTTCAGACTACTGGTTACTTTCATCTCCCTCATCTCTAGCATAATGATGGAGATGAACACAGTCTGCTATGAAGGCAAAGAGCATGGTGACTCTGCTACCCTTTCGGCCACAGGGGAAAGAATCCACACCTGCATGGTCTCTAACAACAGACCTGCTGCTCTGTAGCCTCACGTGGGGCACACTCTGACAGGCCAGAGGAGTGAAGGAGGCTTCAGGAAGGCAGAGCATTGGCAGCACCTGGTGCTCCTAACCCTGAGCAGCCACCACCCTGGTGCAGAGGGGAAATGAAGGGGTCCCAGGGAAGAACGCACACAGATCCCCGGGAGTTGCAAGCTCCGCACGCCGCCTGGAAGGTAAGCAGGTCATGAAATCACACACAAAGACTTCTGGGAAAGTGACGCTGAGTAAACTTAGAGAAGGAAGCCCATGATGTGCAGATCGATCTTCCTGCCTGCCTCACCTGAGTGCATCCAGAACAGCGGCTGAGGGCGGAGCCCTGGGGTAGCAATCCTCTGACCTCCCGGCTGAACACAATGTATCCACTGACGACACAGCTGACCCACCTGATGATACAGCGGTGGTGGTGGTAGCCATGATGATCTCATCTGTC